ATTATAATTGCTGCTCCTGATTTTCATGTAACTGCTTTAATAATACATTTTCATTGAGCACACATCCAGAGAAGTGTGGTTTTTGGATGATCTGGAAATTCAATCAACCACTGTCAAGCTGACAAAGCAATTCTGACAGGGATGCAAGGAATTCTTCCACTTCTTTGGCTGGCCGGTCAGATGGAGTGTTTTAGGCTTCTCAAGAAGTATAGAGGTTGGTAGACAGAGGTCTAGAGAAAGTCAGCACTGGGAGAGGAGATGTCTTAGCAGGCAAACATGTTAGACTTAGGGCAGATCTGCTCTGGAATTGGGATTTCCAAATTTTGCAACCAATCAGACTGTTCCTCTCTCTAGCTGGCCTAGAGAGCACAAGAATCCTATTGAGAGAACAAATGTGTATAGGTGCCAGCAAAATAGCATGCAATTATAAATCCCCAGATAAATATCACTGCAATCTTCCAGAGGTTCCTGGGGCACATTTTCTTTCTTTTCCTTTTTTAACTCCCCCACCCCACCCCCACGGCTTACAAAATCTGTTCCAAATTGTTCAGCGGAAGGCATAGCAGGAAATAATTTTTCCTAAAATGTTGGGAGTCTGTACTCAATAGCAAAGAGCAAACAAAGGCTGAGGTTTTCTAGATTAAAACAAAAAACAAAAACAAAAAACTGAGCCCAAAACTTCAGAGGGGGAAAAGTTCAGTGCTCAGAGCTGGAATGGATATGAGAACAAAATGGCCTTGAAAGCTGCATCTCCCTTATTCTCACCCTCACAATGTAGACCCGGACCAACACGTTGATGGGATCATTGCTTGGAATTCCTTGGAACATGCCAAAAGTAGGGTCGTACCCAGCCTCCTTGGTGATATCATCAGGAAGAGGCACTTTATAGACACACAGGGACCCCTGTGCATGAGAAGACATAACTTTAGCCCAATTAAAAGGCAATCTAGGAATTGGCAAAACAAGAAGGAAGCATCTACTCAGCTCTCTTTTTCCATCTTCTGGCAACAGCACCAGGCAACCTTCTTGCGACACTTTAAAGTTTAAACAATATAGTGCAGTCAAAGTTTTTGCGGCTCTAATGGAATTACACCCCACCTGGGAATTTTTAAAAATTTAAAAAAAAAACAGAGAAAATGTAATAAATAAGTAAAACAATTTACAAAAGCTTACAGTTTCCACAAGAGAACTGTATTTAAAGAGACACTGTTTTTTCAGCTGTTGGAATGGTGACATAATATTTACCTACTCAGCAAAGTTAGTGAAGGAATTATTCCTTAATGCTGAGTTGGCTTCATGACAATAATCATTATATTGCATATTTTGCTTTTGCAATTTGCAAATGCTCTGATACAAGTTTGACTGCTGGGGATGCTGAGAATGATTAGAGCCCCTCCTAACAACTCCTTCATTGGCCTTTTTTCCTTACTGTAGACAAGAGAAATCTCCCTTTTTTCCCCAAAGCAAATGTGAGAAGGGAGGCACTGGCAAAGCCGTGTATATATTGGAGAAGAAATAACTGATCATTTCAAAGACTTGCACTCTTCTCTAATTTGGATTAAAATTCCTGATTTATCTATCCATCTTTTCACTCATTCCATTAATCTCACTAGTCCCTTCATCTTTCTTTTAATACAAGACCTATTTAACTGAACAGCTTCACTGCTCCATTAGAAAGAGGAATGAAATCGGATCCTTTCCTCTCCTCTCTGGCATGCCAGTAATGTACTAGGAATAATGACATTGGAAGTAAGTAAGTGGAACTTCACACTCACTTTGAATCTTCCCACAATGCGATCCTCATCTGCAGAATTGTCATCATCATCACCAATCTTCCCACGAAGGAGGTTGAAAGTATGTAGCCAGTCCTCAAAGTTATCAAACTCTGTCTCCAGCTCTTTGGGGTACACCTAGGTAGGATGGAGCAGATAACATAATTTGGGCCTCTGACTACCATGATCACCTATTTTTAACTTATTTAAGAACAATATGTAGTACTTATTGATCAGAATCAAGATATTTTGCAGATACAGGAGGCATGATACACAGACAAACCCATCACCAGCTCCAAAACTTGGTTCCTGATCCTTTTTTTAATATGGAGAACACCTGCAACCATACAATAATATGCAAGAATGGAACCACCAAAAGTGAGGAGATATCTCTTTTCCTCATTTCTTTTCCAGTTTTCTCACCCCTCTGAAGTTCATGAATATTTTTACCATCATTTAGGACATTGCAAAATTTAATGGTTGCCACAACTTTTATTTCATTTCATTTGTATCTTCTTCTCTCCCATCCACATCACTGATGAACAACACCTACACAGTGGAGAAATTCCACTGTGGTACTGCATGTGTGTGTATGTGTATTTTATTATGGATAAGCACACTTGCTATTATAGATTTAAAAAATCACATCAAAAGAATAATGAAGCAAAGAGTTTGAAAATCTTTTAAAAAGAGATCAGCTTATTTAATCAATGCAGTAGAGATACACTGATAATGTATAGCAGCTGACTTCAATGTGGTAGCTTTCAGATGTGTTGAGTATAATTGTTGTCATCTTCAACCAGCATGACCTATCAGTATACAGTGGTACCTCGGGTTACGAATTTAATCCGTTCCATGACTCTGGTCGCAACCCGATTTGTTCGCAACCCGAAGCAAATTTTCCCATAAGGTTCAATGTAATTACTGTTAATCCATTCCGGCATCCACGGACCATGCGTCAAGGGTGGAAAAACGGCCGCGGACCGTGCGGCAGGGCAGAAAAATGGCCGCGGACCACGGGGCAGGGTGGAAAAACGGCCGCGGACCACGTGGCACGGGCGGAAAATGGCCACGGACCATGTGGCACGGGCGGAAAAATGGCCGCGGACCACGTGGCACGGGCGGAAAATGGCCACGGACCATGTGGCACGGGCGGAAAATGGCCGCGGACCACGTGGCACGGGCGGGAAATGGCCGCGGACCACGTGGCATGGGCGGGAAAAGGCCGCGGATCCGGCTCGAACCCCGAGGCGGAGTTCGCAAACTGAGGTAAATTTTTGCAGCCAGAGCTGGTCGTAACCCAAAACGTTCGTAAGCAGAGGCATTCGTAACCCGAGGTACCACTGTATCTGGAAGGGAAGGCTGAAAGGGAGTGAAGATATCAATGAACAAAAAGGATTGAAAGCAATTTTGTATATGGTCTGAATATCCCCAGAACTGAGATAGGTGGAGGGTTAACTTGATATTGCTTCTTTTCTTCAGCATTTCTAACTGTGGGATGTGAGTTTTTTGGTAGATTTACTGCGAGAATCCTCTCTCCACCTAATGGCAGTTTTGTCTCCCTTAAAATGTCCTGTTCCAAGGGGACATTCCAAGAAAATAATAGGTGGCTCTTAGCCTATCAAAGCTAAGTACCTCAAGTAAATATTGCAAAATAGGCATTTCCTTATTTTGCAGTTTTAGGACAAGAATTAACATGTTGTTTGGCAATATTTTTATGCTTGTAAATGCTTTTGATGGTACTTGTGCAATAAATTCTAATAACACCAAGTAATGTACTGTTTTCATTTCAGGAACATGGCCATGTATCTGGAATTCAAAAATGTAGACAGAAATGTAGATAAGCAGCAATTAGTGATCCTAAATTTCTCAATGTTGCATTATTGAATGATGCACTAATGAAGCTTATGGGAAGTGCCTTTTCCTGAGCCATTTAGCCCAATGCTATCTGCACTGACTGGCAGCAAGTCTCCAGGATTTCAGAAGAGAGTCTTTCTCAATCTATCTGGAGATGCAAAGAGAAGAGACCTTTCAATCCTTTAGAATGCACATTAGGGCTGGCCAGCCCCACAAGTGGAATATTAAGGGCATCTTAAAGCACCCCACTTTACTCTTAATGCCATTCTACAAACCACAGGGCATAAATTTTGGCCCTGCTCCCTCTGGGGACAACACAGCATCACCAGGCATGCTCTTTATAGATCTTCAGAGAGCAAAGGGGTTATAAAAGGATCACTGATGAAGTCCCCACAAGAGAGGGGCCTATGCATTGTGCATGCACTGCTACATTTCAGCACACCTAGAATAATGGGAGGTTTGCCTGCTAATTGTTAATTATTCTGATTAGCAACAATAGATGCCTGATTTCACTTGGGAAACTGTACCTCTCCCAGAACACATGAGATGAATTCTGTATGATGCTTCACTTTGGATTCTTGCAGAGCTCCCCTTCATTTCAAATGGACTTGAACAGAAAAAAAAATTCAAGGACTAGAAATATAAAGTTAAACCATTAGAACATCACACTTGGACTAAAATGCTTTTCAACTAATTAGGATTGGGAATGGGAGAAGCTCACCTTCATCTCGTCAATCTTCTGCTTGTTCTTCTTTTCAGGGGCATCTGGCTGCTGCTGCTGCTTTTTCTTCTTGTCCTCTTTGGATGATCTGACTTTGTCTTTGGTCTTTCCTTGGGACTTTGAGCCTTTCATAGGAGAGTCATCAAGTCTGATTTCTGAGCCCCCAGACAAGAGGAGCAGATGTGGACGATAGGAATCAGACATTTGTGGCAGGGAAGCATGAGATGAGAAACACAGAATTCAGCCATGGCATGCATGAAAGCTGACAGAAAATTAAAGTTTGCAATTCTGAAGTAGCTTCCAGTCCTTCCAGTCCTGAAGTAATCATGCAAGCAAGGACCTTATTATTAATATTCAGTGTATTAATATTCAGGTTATTAGTATGTGGTGCATACTTTGGGCCTTGTGGTTTCTTATTAGACAGAAATTTCATTACCTGAACTGATAAGTATCAGAAATAATTGGGTTATAGTGAATGGGGTTACAGGGGTAGAAAGTGCAAGAATCAGAGCCAAACCAAGGGAAAAGCTACCATGGCTGCCACCCACTTTAGGTGGGAATAATGAGAGGCTGCCATCATCAGCTATTGCGGTGCTTATAGTCAACACAATTACCCCATGACAGTGACAACAGGCTCTTTTCTTTTTCAGATAAATTATTTACTGTGCTTACAGAGCAGAACTTATAAGCAGATGACCCAAGATACAAAGGTGAGTTGGAGAAGGTCTTTTTGTCAGTTAGGTACTCGAAAATATTAATGCTGACATTAAAAGTGCATGGATTTCAAAACAGAGTTTTCTTTCCTAAGGTATCATACGCTGAAAAGCCACCATATTTTGCAAGCTTCTATCAGCACCCCAAATCTCCAATCTATTCTAGTTCTAATGGGAAGAGCAATTTTACCATTCCAAGAAGAATCTGTTACTGATGGAAATGACAAGCTTCCCTTCGCTGGATAGCCATCTGTCAGGGATGCTTCAACTTAATATCCTGCGTTGAATACGGATTTGGGTGATGGCACTTTCAGTTCTAGTAAAAGGTGACTGACGTGGGACATATATTTGGTTAACAGAACTCATTGTCTGTTTTCCAAAAGCAGGACTGCCCTGATTGTACATTTGTAAAAGCACTGAACTTAAGAAACAAAGGCAGCCTTAGGCCCTCTACGAGCAGTTGAGTAGTACAACTTTGAGAATGCTTACTTAACAATGGTTATCCCTCTAAAACTCATTGCAGTTCAAAGAGATTAATGTAATGAGACCCCAGAACCTTATTTCCCCCCTTTTCTTTTCCAGCTGGAAGGCTGTTGTTGTCCCTGCACATTGCTTGGATCTACATGGGAAGGGGAAGAAATGTCTTTCAAAGTCAGATTAGCTGTCAAACAATGCTAAGTATTTCTGGTTCATTTTGCAATAGTTGCAACTATTCACTGAGCCAAACTAATGTAAGCCAGGCCTCCCGCTAGTCTGTATCATATGTGACTGGGCTAAGCCATGATTTACTGAATAAATCAGAGTGGACTGAAGTGCCGTTGTAAGAAAACATTCACAGCAAGCTGAATGAACCCCGAGTGGTGATAGAAGGAAGTCTCAATCAGGAACCTGTGGCCCAGTAAACTAAAATGTTTCTATTCACTGACCATATCTCAAAGATAGCATGGCTAGCATGCTGACCTAGTAGGAAGGGAGAAATAATAATAATGTCACACAGATGAGTTTATCTAAAATATTCCAATGTCATGCTGTAATTTCCACTGTGTCTGCCTTTTTCTTCATATCATATGCCTTTGCACTGTAGTGGACCAAAGATATATAAGCCCTCGTTCTGCTTTTGCTCTTGGCTGCTCAGCAAAGTATCAAAGCTTTGCTGGGGGTCCAGTATATACCGTATTACTGCTTGTATGCATGCAAATAAAATTATGTTGCATCTTCAAAGTGAGCTGGTTGTTTTGGCCACAACAAAAGATGAAGAGGGAGATTTGAAGTGGCAAATGGCTGTTAGGAAAAAGGTTAAATATCCTTTCCCCCACATATTCTGCTCATTTAGCAATGCTCTTCTATAAACTCCCATGAGTTCCCATATATTCCTTTGGAGAAATCCTTATATATGGTTTCTTGATGTACTTAACCTTGCCACCATCTGCCACCCGGTTGTCAATACAGGGAGTTGCTAAATATTCCTATTTATTGGTCTTTAATTTTTATCTAACAGACCAATCAATTGATAGGTGAAATGCTTCCTTGTTAAAGAGCTGCAGTGAAACAAATGCTTTGCCTGGTCATTTTTGGAGAGGGTTTTTTTTTAATGGAAGAATCACAAGATCTGCTCTCCTGTTTCTTGGTCTTTCCACTTTTCAAACATTTACCCTCAGACATCTCCATCTCTTCTTTCTCCTCAGCTTCTGCTGCAGCTGCCTCTTGCTGCCGAAGTAGCTAGAAAAATGAAGGTTACCCAATGGGATGATTAAATTTAGCACAATTTCTGTTTGAACTCATGGACAGTAATCACTTGTCAGACTACAGAACACAGAGAGGGCTGGATTCAAATGCAATATTTCCTATGGCATGACAGGAATCATGTTGTGTCCAATCTTGGAGGGACCCATTTTTACTCTTCAGCTGGAAGGCTCAGGACAATGAATAATCCAATGGAATTACAGGAATAGAGCTGGGCTTGTCCTTATAACATGGGAGATTAGTATTATAAAGATTCAGATATTTCTTCAGAATGTAGAATATGAAGTCTGGAGGGGAGGGACATAATGGAGTGGGGTTTTTTCCCCCTAAGGCAGGAATAGTAGAAAAATATTACAATCAACTTAATCTAAAAAAGCCTGCTTTGGGATTGCTTTTAACAATGAATGGAAAGGCCAGGTAGGTCTCATAATCAGGAATATAAAGCTGGATTAATGTGTATCTTTTGTCCATGAAGAACGAAATGTGAGAATGGATCTCACATAGTCTTTCATCTCAGTGGGATAATATTGCCAGGTGAATTATTAGATGCTTCTGAGATCTTGTTCTTTCCCTGATATCTAAAGGGGTCCAGGGTCTGCAGGTTGTGTACTAAATGAGAACCCTCCCAGCATCTCTCCTGATTGCCATCCAGTCGCTCACCTCCTTCATAGTTTCAATGGAAGCAAAATACTTGGACCACCAGTCCAGCATGCTCTCATCAGGCTCCTCATCCTCAGCTTCTTCTGCATTTCCTTTCTTCTTCTTCTTCTTCTTCCTCTCCTTCTCTTCTTCTGACTATAACATAGTGGAAAATAGGTGAGAGATTGCTACAAAATGGAAAAAAAAAACTTATGCCCAAGACTCTAGAGAGCCACTTTCAATCAATGCAGAAAAATCTAGACACTTTAATTTCTATACCTCTTTACCATTTTTCTTTATCTTTCTTCCTTTCTTCCTTTTCTATTTTTTTGTGTTTATCTTTTAACTTTGTACCAAAAAAATATTTAATAAAAATTTTCATATATATATATATTTGGGCCATGGCAACAGATACTTCAATAAATCAGATAGATAATAATAAGATTTCTTCATTACACTAAACCTGCAATTTATGATGTAAGCTGAAAATTACAATGTGTGTGTGTGTGTGTGTGTGTATAGTCACACTGCATTACAACTATCATTTTGAGGGTTGTGAGCATGTTTGGGTGTGGAAGAGCAAGGAACCTTGGGGGAAAACTTTCCCCAAACCTTCAGGAAGCACAGTGGATATCTATCAGTCTCAAATATTTACTGGTCTATTCTTATTACTACATAGCTCTTCCAGTAAGGGACAATTCCAGTTTACTCCCTGAATTTAAGAAGATAATGTTACTTTAAACTGCATCCAGATGCCAGAGAAGATATTTCAGTAGGACAGTAAATGAAAACACATCTAAGCACAACTGCCACTTACCACGTCCACCTTCACAACAGCATCAGAATTCTGTCACCAGAGAAAGGAATGGGGGGAAAAAAGGGAGAGTTACAAAAATGGAGTATTGTTACTGTTTGTAGTGCACCTACTGGGACATGGGGTACAGCATCTTTGAGCAATGGAGGAAGCCCAAGCACATACCTGATAGCAAACAAAAAAGGAAGGTAACACACAGCCCAAATCAACGGCAGGAATGTCACAGATGGATGATGAAGCTTAGGGTACTGTTCTGCCCAGATTTTTTGCTAGGTCTCTTATTCTTACAAGCAGAGTAGCTAATGACAAATTGATTTAATTTTTTATTCTTTATGTAACATCAATTCACTAATCTTTTATAGCATATATAGGCAAACATTGGGCCACAGATTCTCTGAGACTCTTTACCACTTGCTCTGTGACTCACCAGGTCTCTTGAATAGTCTTCTCCATCTAATGCCCTCCAGATGTTTTGGAACAACAACGATTCTTCTCACAGTGACTAGGAATTCTCCGAGTTCTGGTTTCAACACATCTGCAGGGCACCTGGTTGGGGAAAGGTGTCCTGCCACCCCTCCCACCCTTCCATTTTTCTTATCATCCAGCTGTTCACTATCAACTGGGCAGAACATTCCAAACTCAAAAACATTCTGTTAGGAAAACACTCATTTTGAAAGTATATATTGTTTCAATACTTGCCAAAATGTTGGATTTGAAAAGCATGAACCAAGCACTCTTCCCAGTATGACTTTGGAAGAATGCTGCCAAAATATAGAAATCAAAGGCCATTCTGGGGGATAAGAGAATCTGTATTGCACAAAAGTCTTGCAATACAATTTAATGTTCTTGGAAATGAAAAAGAAAAAAGAAGTTCCTCCGGTAAAGCAGATAATAAACCAGGAAAGCATGTGGAGATAATCTATATGTCATATTAAATATGTCAGGGCTAACAGATTACACACCTCTCCCTAAAATACCAGAATGAAATTGGCTTGTCAATATTTTCCCCCCATTTCATGCACTAAGTTTGTAAAAAAAAAAACAAATCAAAGATGAGTTTCTTTACTGATAGGTAACCAGGAAGGTCAGGCAGTTCCAAGGGTGATAAACATTCTTTCAATATTATTTATGCCTACATAACACTTTGATTTTTAAAAAAGAAGCCAGGATGTCATAAATCAAGGAAGAGGAAGAAGCCCAACTTTTTTGGCCTGGTAGACACATTTATCATTCTGAGAACATGTCGTGGGAATGCTTGCAAAGTGCCTGCTGAGAAGATAGGCTTATCCACCCCCCTTTCCCAAACCAGGATGGTCAACCACTCTTGCTGGCCCTGATTCTTTCTAGTTAGGTAGACACTTCCAAACAATGTTCCTAGCATAGCCATCCATTATGCATTTGGGTCTATAGACTTGGCTTGGCTAGGAAGTTCCTTTGATGGCTGGCACATCAGTTACTACTTGCTCAGAAAGCCAATGGCTTTGGGTCCCTGGCTTGAATAGTAAAGGGGAGAAAAACTCAGAGAGAGAGAGAGAGAGAGACAGAATACCATTTGCTCAATTGAGAAGAATTTGCTACACTTCAGAACCAAGGCACATTCAGAACAATCTAAATGATCTCAGGCAGAGTGGTGTAGGAATTGGGTTTCAAAGTTTCATTGACCACTGTAATTAAAATGCTTTTTATGTTGTGGATCAGCCCCAGTCTACCATTCTTCAATTACTCTCTACACAGATTAATGGGACTGTACAAAGGTAATCTTCTAAATGCTTTACCTGTCTTT